GGGGGGGGGGGCCTCGGAGGACCTGGCTGAGAAGCGGGAGGTGGTCATCACGTACCCACTTGGAAAAGCTAGCCTTTCAAAAGGAGCTAGGATGATAGGCTGCCAAGAAGACTATATCCAATCTCTCATATTGAGAGGCACTCATAATCGTACCAGCAATCAGGAGATCAGGAAACATTGCGTGGAGAAGGTTGGCTGTCAGGGACCTCTCCAAAATATCGAGGAGCAATGATGTCACTTTAAAGACTATGGTGCGCCTGATTCAAGCCATGGTCATTTAAGTCACTTGCTTTACATCTGAGAACTGGACAAGGAACAAGAATGATAAATGTCATTGCCCTTGAGTTGCGGTGTTGGAAAAGATGAACATTCCATGGACCGCCAAAATGACCAACAGGTGTGTCTTGGAAAAAGTGCAGCCAGGTGCTCCTTGAAAGCAAAGACTGGCAAAGCTTCCCTCTCTCACAGTTGGGCATGCAGCTAGGAGAGACTATTCCTTGAAAAGGGAAAGGTGGTTGGAAAGGTGGAGGGTCAGCAGAGAGGAAGACCCACAACGGGATGAACTGACACTGTGACTGCAGCAGTGGGCTTAACTCTGTCCGAGATGATGAAGATGGCACAGAACAAGGACAGAGTTCAGGTCTGTTGTTCAGAGAGTCCCTATGGCATATTCTTGACTCGACAGCACCTAACACAATAATCATTGTCCTATTACTGTTGTTAGACTTTATCCTGTAGATACGGGCCCAATGCCGCGTCCTGCACCACAATCACAATCGCCATGACCACATTATGCAGCCTCTGTGTCAATCCATCGGGTTGAAGATCTTTCTCTTCTTGGCTCATCTTCGACTTTATCAGGCATAAATATCAGGGGTGTCCCTTCCACGGGACACCTCCCCCCGCCCCCCCATATAACTTGTCCAGAGATAAGACAAGTCCTCAGTTTCCTTGCTTTTAAGATGTGTTCTGCCTGTACTTCTTCCAAGATAGTCATTCGTTTTTCTAGGGTATATTCCATATTCTTCAGCAGCACTGTAATATAAATCCATCATTTCTCTTCATCCTACGTTATTCACTGTCCAGCTTTCACATGAATATGAGGCTGTTGAAAATGCTATGCTTGGGTGAGAGGGCACTTCGGTTCTCAAAATGGCAGCTTTGTTTTTTAATTCTGTCAGTCTTTTTCCAAACAGGTGTGCCTAGTGTAATGTGTCATTTTATTTCTTCACTGAAGCATCTGATTGTGGACCTAGTCAAAACTAAATCCTTACCAACTTCAATTATTTTACTCCCATTTGTCATTTTGTCAATTGTTAAGTCCAATTGTAAGGATTTTTGCTTGCTTTATGATGAAGTGTAATCCATGCAGAAAGTTTAAGGATTTAGTCCTCTTTGCTTTCAACAATCAAGATTTGCCATCTGCATGCCACAAGTTAACAAATCTTCCTCTAACCTTAAAGCCATGTTATTCTTTACATAATTCAATTTGTCTTACTATTTGCTCAGCATATAGATTAAGTATGGTGAAAAGATTCAACCAAGGCACACAGCATTCCTGAATTTAAATTTACATTATCCCCCTATTCTATTTAAATAACTACTTCTTGGTTTATGTTTTTCATTAATTCCTTCAGTACAGCTTAGACTTCCTCCTTCAATGCCATCTGTTCTCAATGATATGCTGCCCATTGAGATGTTGACCAAGCTTTTTTGATTACTCCATGTTCCCTTAATTTTTTAAGCTTTGTTCAGTATTTGGTCCATTGAAGTCTTATTGTAACGTGAGGCTTGAATTTGTTCCTCAGTTCTTTTGTCTCAGAAAATAGAAGGAATATTTCTCCTTTTTTTTCAAACTGGACATTTTACACATTTTATTATACTTTG